TTATATACCTGAAACTAATATAATATTGTAAAACAACTATACTTCAATTTTTTAAAAAATGATGTATCTGAACTACTGAGGTTAAGAATTCTGTAGAAGAGTTTACCTTCTATATAACAATAGAAAACTGTTCATGGAGGGTAACAAGATACAATAATGCTTAGCTATAAATAATATTTCCATAGGTGTAACTAAAACCAAATATCAATTTAAGTAAAAAGTTGTCTCCTTACTATCTGGAAAGAATAGAAGTGAAGAAAAAGAAGTGAGAGAAAGGTGCAATAATATCTAAAGTTAAAGAGATACCATCTTCACAAAATATTTAAACATATGGCAGGAAATCTCAAATATAATGCCTAAAGGAAGTAAAAGTGGCTCCTCTGTGACATGAGTCAGATGGAAAAGGAAAGGCAGGGAACCGGCGTCTTTCCTTGTATTTCAATTTTTAAACTATTTACATCTACTCTGAAAACTTTTTCAACTAAATAAAGAGAATTTCAACAAAGAAAAATCCTCCAATGATTTAAAATCCTTTTTAAATCAGAAAGGAGATCTAATGGTGTTAGCTGCAAAAGGAAAGCAAATTCATAAATTAATATTAATGATGTTTTGAAGGATACATTGCAAAAGACAAAACAAGCAGGCACCAGATTAAGCTGATATTCATTTCCTGTGTGGGCTTCATAAAACTGTAGTAGACTTCAGTTACTAGATACACAACTGTAGCAGCCACTGTGAAATCCACCAGCCACTGGTATTCTGGAAAGTAATGCAATGCTGAAAAATAAAGGTTTAAGAAAGAAAGGTTTATTTAAACTTCAACAAACAGCTTAGGAAGATTTATCTATAATTAACTTCAAACATGCTAGACTTTATTCTGTTTGATGATTTGCAATGTGAGGTTTGCAAATATGAGAATCTAAAAATGCAGGAAACAGATCGAGAATGTTGGCATTCAAAACTAAATTTTAATACCCCATAAATTGAATAATTAAAATGAACCTGAAATGATTACCAAAAATTATTTAAATTGTTAAAAATATATGATTGCAAAATGAGCAAGTATTCTCTTAGCTGATTAGCTTTTACAGAAATTATAAACCAGAAGATTTTTTTTAAAAGACTCTGCACTATAATCCTTTAGATTTAGAATACAATTTGATATCAAATACTACAGATTTGCTTTTTTTCCTTTCTGTGAATCAAGAGAGTTGAACTTTATGTTACAGTATTAACCGCACTAAAGCAAGATTAGTAATTTTGTAACCTACTGCAGATTAAAATAATAAATTAAATATACTTTTTATTCTCTCTCCTACTACCTCAAGAAAAGCTGGTGAAATGCTTGTTGATTTTCCATAAAGACATACTCCAACAAACTATTCCATCCTTAGGGTTTATATTAACATTAGCAATGTCTGAAAGTAAATATGATTCCATCTCCTTTTTCGTTTCAGATATTCTGGTTTACTTCTGCCAGAGAGTAGTCCAAAGTATTAAAGTCATTTCTGTAGACCTCCATGGATCATGTACACAAACATCAATTCCTGTACCCTCACTGGCACATAGTAAAACCATCTACAATACTCTGAGAAATTTTTAGATGTACAATGTAATACTTGAGGATACTTTTTAAATCACATATTTACATACAGAAAAAAAAATTTTTAAATAAAACACCATTCATAGTAAGACATATTTAAAACATCAAAACAAACTGACCAAATCTACATCTCTACGAGGTGACAGCAAAAATTCTAAATCCTTTTAAGATAGAATAAATTATTTACTTGCTTCCGCTTAACTTAACACTCTTAATTTGCCTCAAGTTATTTTAACTGCTTTAGCTTTTTTGTTGTAATAGACCTAATAGATTATAAATGCCAGTCTGAAAGACTTACCCTAAAATGGCTGCAGGATTCCTACCCTCTAGAACCCCTTCTACCCTCTAAAGTTTAGCTTTTAAAATAACATTCTGTAAGGACAACAGAGAAATGGATGGAACAGACAGGCACATGTCTGTTTATCTAAAAGATTTTCAATTTCTATTAACAAAAGTTGAAATGTTCTAATTTTCCATGCCTGCCCACACTCACATAGTATTTCTCCAGAGAACTCATTCACAGCAAATAGCCAAGTGACATTCTTTAAGAGGTTCTTATGATAGATAGCTAATACAAATTGAGAGACTTTTAAGATAGTTATTGGAAATCAATAATAAATACATTCAACAAAAATATCATTTACACATATTCTTGGCTATGTATTTAACACAAGTATTATATTCTTCCTTCTGAATTCAATAATACAATTACATATGCGCCATTCAACAGAATATTGGAATCAAAAGAAAACAAAGTTCATCAACCCCAGCGGTTTGCATCAACCTCCTGAGTACCTCAGGTTCAAGCAGAAAACCTTCCACTTTTACCTAAACACACATACAAAGCATGCATTCATGGATGATTACATAAATATAAACATAAATAAAACATCTCCCTGCTATTCTGATTAACTGGAATGCTCTTGATGTTAGGTGACCAGTTGTTTAACTACTACCAATTGCAATTAGTTCTCAAAAGTGTAAAAGTGAAACAAAATATTGAATAAGCTGAAGCCAACATTAGCCCTAACTTCCATTTTTGAAGTTCATTAAAATAGCCTAATTCTCACTAAAAGACTCTACCACATTCAAGGTGTCACCCTGGTCAAGTTATTTAATTCCACTGTCTAATGAGTTTAAAAAAAAAAAAAGCAGTAAGAATTATATACCTCATAGAATTGTGAGGATGAGTTAATACAAGTAAAGCACTTATAACAATGTCTTACAAGTATTCAATTTAAACTATTATTAAAGTTAATTAGCTGATAATTATTCAATAAACATAAGTTATTAGTAAAAATAACAGAAATCTGTCTTAGGAATCAGGGAACATGTATAAATGTTCTTATACAAGTAAGCACACATACAGGATTAATAAAACAAATGTGACAATCAAAAAGTTCAAGTGCTCTACATGTTTTAAATAGTGCATAAAAATAGTTTAAAAAAAAAAGAGAATGAAATAACCAGTCTTAAAGAATTAGACAACTGATTTATCTTGTTCCTCACTGATATTTTCTAGTTCATCCTTTCCATATATGAGATATACATATATATATATATATCATATACACAATCTTTGTAAATGGAGAATCAACTTTCAAATGTATTGAAGCCACTTTGTACCACAAAACAATTCTATATGAGATGCTAGATGAAATTATTAAGGTTTTCCTGGGGTGGTGTGATTTAACCTAAGAAGGACCAAATTACATAATGATACTTTATACAATATTACCAAAGATATTTTTTTAATGTGTTATTTTAATTACTCACTTACCATGTAAACCATTCATTCTCAAACTTGGTCAAAAAATCAGAACCACATGGAGGATTATTAAAATACAAATTCCTAATACCCACTCTAGATTTACTGAATCTCCAAGGGTAGGTATGAGGAACCCTCATTTTCAAAGAGCTGCTCAGCTGACTGTAATGCACAGCTAGGTCTGAAAACTTGTGTTCTAAACAATATCACCTTATATGCCCTTCTCTTCTAGGATTTGAATAACTGTATAAATTTCATTTTAAATGTAAAATCATTATAGTTACTATACAACAAACACTCATATACAGGAAAAAACTGAATTTTACTTATTCAGAGATACTCAGTGGGTACAAGTAAATCTTGACTAAGTTTTCTATTCCCAAATTCATTATTCTTAAACCACTTTCATTTCTACTGAATGTGACTGGTTAAGTTGAATAGTTGTAAATATAGGTAATTCAACACAAACACACAAATGCATTTCTTCAAGTAGTATTATAAAAGAAATAAACAAGCATAAATGGCAAAAAGTCCAAAATTTGAGATAATGAAAACTGACCGTACAACATACACAGAAACTGTGTAATCAACTTGTATAAGTCAGCCTCTTCTGAAAAATGGAAAAAATAATGCTTACTACAAGTTAGGTAGATAGAAAGACAAATTCAATTCAAACAAAGTCACTGAGCTTCCAGGCTCTAGAAAGATTTCATAGTCCATATAATGGACTTAATGATTAGAAAAACAGACAAAAAAAACCTAACAACAATAAATAAAATGAAAGTACTTTCATTAGCATAATATAAAACTGAAATTTACAGAACATTTTACCTAGATTTCCCTTACCTAAAGTATCCACTTCTGTAACTGACTTTGTTTCTAGATGGAGATCAATATCCTTTGGAATGGTTAGTGGCTTACTTTCAATGTGACCATTATATTTCCTATAAAAATCAGACAAGTGACACAAAAAACAAGTTACCCTCACTGTTATTCAAGTGTTTGTATAAAACTAATGACAAATAAGGTTATAAATTTCACAGTGAAAAAAAGTTCTAATATTTCATGAAAAAGGAGGTAAGGCACTCAAAAGCAGTTTTTAAATGGGGGACTACAAAATATAGATGTAAATTATTATGTGAATATACAGATTACCAGAGAAAGTTATCTAAATTAGTGAGAAGAATAAAATTTTGATTGCTAGTTAAGCATCTCACCCCATTTTTCCTGCTCTCTCTTCTACAGATTTACAGACAGCCTAGTATCTCTTTCTTTAGGCAGAAGGGTTAAAGGAAATGAAGACAAAATGCATTTCAATTTAAAATTATACAAGTATACACATACATATATATAGACAAACCTGAAGCTTTAAACAAGTCAGAGTTAAAAGTATATATATAAGATTTATGTGTATGAGAAATTCAGAAACTTGAAAGACTAACTCAGATTTGCTTTTATTAAGAATCACGAATGGAGGAAAATAACAGAATTCTTCAGGTACATGTGTATTAATCCCAAATTTAATTTTTAAAGATAGTCAAAATATAAATTGAAAGTACAAAACTAAACTTCAGTAACAATAATTAAAATACCAAGACACAATTCTACATTTATTCCTGAATGAATATGAACTGGGAAAACCTCAGTAAAATTTTTAATTCATGTCAATAAATCAAATAATTATTGCTGCTAGAAAGAAGATAGTGTTGTTAGTGCATCTTTTTGTAAAGTAAAGCATTTCCAACATATAAAAATTATTATAAAAATAAAATTACTCACTACAAGGCACATAATAAGAATTCAAATGTTTATAAAATGAAGACTATACTATGTAACTAAGTGTTGAACATGGTAGCTGTGAAAAGGCCCAGGTGGAATAAAAAGAAATGCAGAAACTAAAAACCAAGCTGGATTAAAATCCTCACTCTTAGTAGTTATGTGAACTTGGGCAACTCATTTAACATCTTTGATCAAAAGCTTCATCATTAGTAAAATATAAATTAAATTAGTAACTAATAGTCAGGATTATTGTGTGGATTAAATGAGACTGTAAAAGTGTTTTGAAAATCATAATATAAGGCAGGAATATTATATTAAAGAACATAACCACTGGAATACAGAGGAGGGTTTACACTTAATATTACAATGAGCTTCAAGGTGTATTTGTAACGATTAAGTGAAAAAGACAATGATAGCAAGATCAGAAGAGACAGTTTCTTCAACTTTCCAATTTCATGCCAAATAATCATTAATGCTTAAAGAATTTTTTTAGCACCTACAAAGCTATTAGCCCATGTTAATGTACCTTATATGACATACATGAGAAATTTGGTAACAATATGTTGTCACTGACATTTTGTAACATATTAGAATCACAGGTTCAGATCCCCGAAAGTCCTCCCCAGCTAAGGAAACTAAGGCCCATTTAGAGAGGCTAATTAACATACACTTTCCTTGAAAATTCAACATAAATAGCAATATAAAATTTAAGAGCTGGAAGAATCCTTCAAAATGACTATGTTTGGTTCTTCCACTTCACAGATGAGGCTGCTGTGGTCCATTCAGTGAGTTTTATTATTAGCAGGCAGTTTTCTTCATAAACTGTAAATGTAATATTCAGCAACCTGAACAGAACCTAAGAAGTTATACTGTCCACCCCTTCTATTTAAAAAATGAGGAAACAGAGGGGGAAAAAAAGCAAATGAATCTGCTCAATATCATAATACTGAGTGATGGCAAATTCTGGAAAAGAATCCATACCAACTGGTATTTTTAAATGAGTTGCAGAGTAAAGACATGGGTTATGGGTCATCCCCCACTGAACCCCCATAACAATTCTAAAGTTAAATAATCACTTTAGTGTTTACATATTAGATTACTACATACTGGGTTTTCTTAAAGGGTGATTCAATGTTATTTGAGAGCATGGGTTTTAATTTCAGATTTATCAACTGTTTATGACATAATCAGTAAATGTTCCTTTAATCAAAGTATAAAAGTGTATCTACAAAAGTTTTGTCAAATATTTAATGCCTTACAAATTTAACAACATAACTTACCTATCTTTTTTGCTTTTCCCTTTTTGCTGCTTTCCTGCAAGAATTCTTAATTCTTCTTCCGTAGGATGCTGATACCATCTCAAACTAAGAAAAAAGTAATTCTTTAAAATGAAGAAATAAAATCACCAGAATTTATTCATTTATTCTACAAATATTTACTCAATTTCCTATTTGTGAAGACACCTCAGGGAAATATCAGGTGAAAAATTCTAATCTGAAACAGATACTACTGCTTAAGCTATAAAGGAGTTTAGACTGAAATCCAGCAAACACTTACCAAGCACTTACTAGATGCCAGACCCTGCAATGATATTTGTAGGTATTTTTCTTACAACTGACAATGTACTAGTATATATTAAGGTCATACAGGCTTATTTTAACAATAAATGGCATGAACTCATTAGAGGCAAGCTGGCAGAAGCACATTAGAATTCTCCACCCACCCTTTATTTACACCGAAGGAATTGATATTTCTTTTTAAAAGATAGTCCTTTGAATGCCCTCAAAACTGTAAAAGTCTTTCCTTTTCTTTCTCTCCTTTCTTTAATTTAACTGGAGAATTCTTAAACTTTAGGTGTATAAGAATTAGAGTAAACTATTTATTTACAAAACCCTTTACTCTTGACTATATCAAACCTCCATCAGTTAGGGCTCCAACAACCGAGTGTATTCACCTCCACCAATCAGTCAAAACATCCAAACAAGTCATTTATTCCTTCCTAAGAATCCACTTATTCATTCTCCATTTCGTGTCTCACCTGAATTTCGTATCTGCCAGCCACCTAATTTTGATATTTTGAGTTTTACCTTCAACATGCCCTTTCCACGTTATCATTAATTCCATTGTTTAACTCTTGAAATTCTAAATTTGCCTCCTACCCTGCAAGGACCTTAGCTCAGACTATCTTCCTGTCTATCTCTGACTATGGCAAAACTCTAACTGGTCCCCCTGCCTGCTCCTGGACACTCTTCTAAATGCATTCTGATCCCATCTTTGTTTATTTTCCCATAATGCAAATTTTATCAAGGTATATGCCCACTTAAATCCTTCTCAAGACTCCTCACAGGGTCAAGTAGTGAGTAAGGCTTTGACCAAGGTCCTGTTGTTACAAAAAAGAAACAAACAGCTAGTATTGATAGACCTTCCAATTTTTCAACTGCAAAAATATAGTTTTTTTAATTGAAATACCCCAATTTTTAAAAAATGCTACTACTGATCTGCTGTTTTTTAAAAATACTGCAGAACTGGCAATTTGAGTAATGCCTGGATATTCAATGATGTTAAGAAATTATTGTTAAAATTTTTTAGCTGTAATAATGGGATTACAGTAATTTTTTAAAATTTCATATAAAATATCTATGAATGAAATAATAGTATTTGCTACAAAATAACGTGGGGGGAGGAGAGATGAAGAGGCACAGAGATAAATTGGCCAACAGCTATTGTGATGAGTATGTAGTAGATGATTATATCTGTTATATATTCATTATATTATTCTGTATACTCTTTGTATATGTTTGAAAGTTTCCATTAAAGCTAAAACACACACTATAAGACCACTATAAGGCCACATACAGGGTTTGTGACCTATTTTCACAGTCTTTCACAATCTGATTACTGTCTACTTCACCAGACTCACCTTCAAAAATTCCTTTTTTGAAAATGACATTCTGTCTAAACTAAGTGACATTTCACTCCAAAAATCATTTCATCCCTTGGCATTTCTGCACATATTCTTCTCTCTACTGGTAAACAACTATGCCCCTACTAGCAAACTCCTAATTTACTTTTGACTGCTTATAAGGCAGTCTCTCTGTGGTGTAATTAAGAATATACCTGGTTACTGTCCCTACTTCTTGACATAGAGCTTCAAAAGTCCTTCTAAGTAATGAGAGTACTTTTGTTATGCTAATGTGGGCACTCACAGTGGATCTCCAGGTAGCTTCAGGATGGAGGCTGGTCACCAAAACTACTAACCATCAGAGTTGTAACTTTCAGCCATCTGACCTCCAGGAAAGGGAAGTGGGTGGAAGACTGAGTTCAATCACGCAGCCAGTGATTTAAAATAATACCTACGTAATGAAACTCCATAAAACCTCTGGATACTGAAGCTCAGAGGAGCTTCCTAGGTGTTCAGTACACTGATGTGCCTAAAGGGTGACATGCCCTGACTCCACAGGAAGAGGGCATGAAATCTCCGCGTTCCTTCCTAAACTTCATCCTATGTGTAATCTTTACAAATAATTGTAATCATTGCACTTTCCTGAGTTCTAATGGTTCTAGTGAATTATTGAAGCTGAGGGGTTCATTAGAATGCCCTAATTTGTAGCCAGTAGCTGGTTGTCAAAAGTACAGGTGGCCCAGAGATTCCAAGAACTTGCTGGCATCTGAAGCCTGGGTATCCTTAAGGAGGACTTTTTCTTTAACCTATGGGGTCTATGCTAACCCCAGGTAGTTAGTCAAAACTGAATTGTGGTTGGTATCAGACGAGTTGGGTTAAAATCAAATATTCCCCAAGCTGAAAGACTCATGGAGTGAAGATTTTATGATTTACTTGTTTTTGTATACATCAAAACTAGTACAGTTACTGGCATATAGTAAGTGCTCAAAAAAGACCACTGCATGAATTAAGTTCTCCTCTTGGTTTAAGGGTTTTAAAATAAAATATGTTACCCATCCCAAGTTCCTTAAACTGTAATTAACATGGGTGAGGAGGCATGTCCTGAAATTTCGATTGAAGTCCACAGTTTTAACTTACAGTCGACTCTCGTTATTCGCGGTAGTTATGTTCTATAAAGTCGCCGCGAACACTGAACCATTTGCTCCTAGGGGAAATACAGGGTTAGGTTCCCACGAGCCTCTGGTCACAACATTTTCATCAGTTAATCAATATATAGTCTTGTTTTACGTGTGTTTATGTTTAAAGATACTGTATTTAAAGTATACTGTTAATTCATTAATAATAAACGCATGGCCAACAGTGATATAACTCATGCTTGAATAAAGCTTATCTAATAACTGTAATCGTAAGTATGGTATTTTCCTGAGTTCTGTCAACATTAGTAGTGAATTTTCTCTAAGATACGTCACAGCCTTCTTGTGCTTAGGAACACTAGACATCAAGAACTTCAGCACTACACTTGGGGGGCCATTTTAAATACAAAGTCATCCACAAAAAAGCAAAAATGTGGAAAATGTGACACTAAAGAGACCACAAAAAGGACACTTGTTTACAATATGACAGGTAAAACAAGAAGACCTCAGCTGGGAACATGTCATTCAAATTTTTTACCACTCTGCATATCTCTATGAATGACCTTGAAAGCATCACAAGTATGAATTTGGGGATTACAAATAAATTTTAGCAAGTAGGCAAATCACAAACATAAAATCTACAAATAATCAGGACTGAGTATATAACATTTAGGAAAACACAAAAGCAGTAACTCATTTATAAAGACTAAAATTAGTTGTATATTTTTTTTGAGAAATAATTATCAGTGAAAGACCCTTAATACTACAGGAAAACTTAAGAGTCCTATAATAATGAAATATTTTAACACCCTTACATTTTCTGGGACCTATTTTCTTTTAAAATATTCTCAAATTTGTTTAATCTTATTTTGTGAATCTATTTTTCTAAAATGGATTGAATTTATGACACTTGCGTCATCTTCATTATTAACAATTATTGCTCAAAGCTAGAATCTAAGAATGCTGGATGCTCTTAGGGATACTTCTAGTCTGTTACTCGTCTATCTGTCCACTCATCCATCCATCCATCAATTCATCAGACAGTTATGGAGTCCAATATGGTCAACCACTCTGCCAGGCAATGGAGATATAACCACATACAATAAAGCCAAAATTCCTGATTTCTTCATGTTTATATTTCAGTTGGGGCAGAATTTAACCAATTTAAAAAACAACAAAAGTCACAGATTGGATACTACAGAAAAGAATCAAACAAGTGGTCAGAATGCGACAACAAGCCTTAGATATTAGGCTAGGAAACTTCTCTGAGAGGACATCTGCCCAGCAAACTAAAGGGTAAGAAGAATGGACGGGGAGAGCATTCCAGGTGGAGAAGAGCATGTCCAAAAGCACAAAGGCATGAAAAAACATAGATCACTGCAGTAACCAAAAGGCCAACTGAAACTGAGTAGGACCCTGCACCCCCCCCCTCACCTCCTGACTCTTTATTTCTAGAAAAGCTAAAGTCTCCCAGGCCTTCCGGAGTCATAAAAGAACAGGCTCAAGCAGTTGATGACTAGGACAAGAGTCACAGACTCACTGTCTGATGCACATTCCTGAGCTGTTTTATAGATACTGTAACTGCCACCAGAGGGGAAAGGCTAACCGCATGATGACCAGATCTCTTCTCTAGCCTCCCCTTCAGTAACCTCCTGAACTGTTACCAAGGCTGTTGCCCCAGGATTATACCCTGCCCCTCCCTGAACAGAAACTAATTACCCTTATCTAAGTCACGGAAGGCAGGTGCAAAGAGAAGAAACAAGGATTGATTAGAACCATCTAAGCCCAAGATGGCAGAGGATTTGACTTCCAGTGGACCTGGAGCCTCATTACACATTTATTGTAATGATAAATGATACACTCACCACTGCCAAGACAGTTGACAATTGCTATGACTACAACCAAAAAAGCCCATACAAAGATAGAAAAAGAAGGCAATTGGCTCCAGCACACCTGGAAGGAGAACATGAAGGCAGAAGCTTCCAATAAAATTCCATGTGGCCTGACCCGGGGCTGAGCTGTCTTAACCAGCCATCTTGGCTGACGGCTCCTCAACTCGAGTGCTTCTCTTTCCTTTTCCCCACTCAAGCCCTTTCTTGCCTTTTCCCGTCCCCTGAATAATGAAGTAGCTCTTCACTTTGTCCCTCTGCCTCTGCTGCGAATTCTTTCACAGCCAGCGGCAAGGACCCACACTTTGGTGGGCTTCCTAATTTAGGGGTCTCACGACCCACTAGCGTAAGGAGGCAGTAGCACCACGTGCAAGGAGAAACACATGAGGGAGGCTGAACAGATAAGAGGGAACAGGTCACGCAAAGCCTTCCGGTCATGG